TTGCAACTTACCTGATTACAATTATTATTAGATTGCTACGTCGATAATATTTTCACCTAGACGTGAATGTACATTACTATTAATAATTTATCTTGTTGTAAACACTTTAGATACTGATTTATATCTACTCAAATAACAAAATCGATACTGTTAATGTTTGAAGTGTTGTAAGTTTGCATTATGTTTATCATTTTATCTTCTCTGGGTAAATTGAAAAGCTTGTCTTTCCATGTCAACTAGACAATATTGCGGCTTAACCGGAAACTATACTTAAATCAACCTAAATGTTTATCAGTAACGCGAAAATAAAGTGTATTTCATAAAAAAAAAATAATATCTCTCTTTAAAGGTACATTAAGTAAGAGCTAAAGTTGCCTATTGCAGTTTTTTATTTTGGCTTCAAATGTTATATAAACTATGATTTAGACATTTATTCAAAGGACAAGCCTTTGATTAGCTCTCTAGAGCATCGGATGGTGGAGATTTAAACAGATTGAAATGCGATCGCAATTTAATGATTAACAATGACAAGTAACACTACAATAATGCACTATCTATGCCACATCTTGTCAAAACCTGAAACAGCGATAACTTCGCTCAGAATCAAAAAATTTGAATCAAATTTTCAGTATATTAATTTTGAATTATCTATTTTTGGAACTATTAGAGCAAGAACGGTCAGCTCTTTCTCTAAATTTTACATAATGTATCTTTAAGTGTTACCTTTGGCCTTACTGTTCTTGTTTATGCACCCTTTGTTTGTATATAAAACAAATAAAAATCATAATGACAAGCCAAACTCATGTCGATAACTTCTATCGATTTTACATCGGTTTATGCACCCTTTGTTTGTAAATAAAAAAGATAAAAATGAGACAATGACAAGACAAACTCATGTCGATAACTTCTATCGATTTTACATCCACTTCACTCAATACACACTGGAAAGATGATTAATCATCATATTATATAATAATTTTGAAAATATTGAGTGAGGGACCCAGTAATTGCTTATTCCGTTCCGGCTAACTCCCCCTGTGACTTTTGTTAGGTCAGTTCATGAATTAGTTTTACTGCAAAAATATTTTACACCAATTTAAACTCTTTTGTAAATATATCTGATAAGATTCTTTCGTATTCATGCACAATATAGTTTGTTATTTTTATAAATATTATAGTTGATTACCTTTCAGATAAAAGTGCATTCACAAGGTAAGTTACATAAAAAATTACGAATTATTTAGAGGTCGAGGTAAGCATCAGATATATTTGATTTTTCCGGTGATGGGAATTTTAGATTCTGCCACAGCGGTCTCTGACGGTGAGATCTAATTATTAAGGCCACTAGCCGATCTCGTCAAGGTCACGAGATGTAAACAGGGGTAGGGCACGCGATTGTTGCCGAGGTTTGTGGGTTGGAGTTAGGGTTACGGTAAGGGTTTACATCTCGTGACTTTGACGAATTCTGCAGGTGGCCTTAATAGTTAGATCTAACCGTTAGGGTTAGGTAAGGGTTAGCGCTAGGACTGTTTGAAAGAATATTCATTTTATTTTAGTGTAATTGTTTTATCTATTGTTTGTATATACAAGTGGTATACGGGTTAAACATGTAACTTTATTGCGTGTTTGATATATCCGTACCCGAATGTGGATTTCGGTGTCGAACTTTATATTCAAATGGCGATCGGAGTTTAAATTTGACTGGAAAGATAATAAATAAAGTATTTGGGCGAGTTTCTCACAAGCCTTGACAGATCTTTTGCGTTTGCTGCAAATGTACAACAAAAATCAATGAATGAAATGAAATGGTGTTTAACCACAGGCACTTGAAGGGATTAAAATAAAACTTCTTACTACTGCTTGGCTATATATTATAGTATATAAGAAGGTATTTCAGCCGCCATCTTTGTTTTCACGTCTTCAAGGCATTTCGTCTGCTAACATCTCACAATACTCACTAGTTCTAACACTACCCGTCGTTTTTATTGCCAACGAGGCCTTATTTGATCATTATTCAGCTTCCGATGTAATTAAATTGGCCATTTAACAGCGTTATTAATTACAAATCAAACTTGAAGCGCTGTCACTTGCCGATATTCGTCTTCATCAGCCCGGAAATAAGATTTGTTTGTAGCAGTCTGTATCACCCAGTCCCTTATAATCCTATCCGTTACTCGAAATTTGGTCGGTAAATGATCGAGCCTACGAAGCGAGGCCGCAGTCTGGATCACCCAGTTCCTAGGAAAATTTCGAGTAACGGATAGGTTTATGAGGGACTGGGTGATACTGTTTGTTGCGACTGGGCTAACGAAGACGGGATTTAGTAAGTGACTAAGTTGTCACGGGGGGATGCAGGCGATCATACGACTATAGTTATTTTATATGAATTGTAAAAAATATATAGTAAAAGGTTATAGTTAAAGCTACTCTCAGGTGTTAGATATTAGAAATAAAGTTGTTTTAGGAAAGAAAACAAGGTTTTGCCAGTACTTTCTACTTTATTAAGCTTCTTCAGGCAAACCTTACCAATTGTTGGTATATTATTATCAAATATTTTTGAGTAACGTTCAGATGGATATGTAGAAAGCAGCTCAAAGTTATTTCAGTGGCATTTAGTAATTGAATTGGAATATACGGGTCACAATTCCATGGAATACAATTACTCCTTATTAGTTGATAATAACTAGAGACGCCTAGCTGAAACGTCGTTCAATAATAAGCAGTAATTGTATCCCATTGAACAGTGACCTGTCTAGCTCAGAGTTAATTGAATATTATCGCCCAACCCCTGCCCCTATACAGATAAATTTCATGTCGTTTAAAATATTCTGTGACCTTTATCATGATAAAGCTCTGACCTTTAATCTTTAATCCTGAATATTTGAATGATTGTATATTATCCGATTTAAAGATACACTGTAGTGGAGGATGTTTGGTTACTCTGTAGTAAAAACGTTTGCTATGTGACATTATTGGAGGGGAAGGGGTGTTTTTTTTATAGGCAGTGGTGGTCAATCACTATTCTGGTACGCCACGTCATTAAAACTGATATTTAGACTGAAAATCAAGTACGGTATTTATCTGGTTATATATTTTAATCTCGCTGACATGGTCGATCTTATCAAACATACTTTTAAAACATTGCAGATACTAGCATGTTTAAGAAACTAAATCGCTATTCTTTGGCAACTAGAAATGAACACAAATAATAATGTAATATGAATGTATATAAACTGATTTACATTCAGTCGTTTCTGTTTTTACTGTAATTTCTGATCAGTTATATTCGGTGAATTACGCGAAGAGTTCAAATTGAATGGCAGTCTTTGGTGTCAGGTTTTTCCAGTCTACTCCGGAAGTCTTCCCTTGTGGGGTATGTTTAGCATAGTCGCTTCACTACAAATGGCGCTCGGGAGCATTCTGGCACGGGATTCGTGTTCCAAATTTGACATTTTCATTGTGTTTTAAATATAGGGATACCAGAAGCCCATCTTTTCACGGTAATATAACAACATCAATGTTGATTTAAATTGACCAATAAGTCGTGTTTACAATGTCGAAGACTGTGGATGATACTGAGTTATTATATACTAGCAGGATACCCGGCTTCTTCCGGGACCCTAATTCGACTGGGGCCCAATTCGTCCGGGGTTCAAATTCGGTTTGGACCCAAATTCCCCGGGGCCCAAAATTCGATAGCCTAAATAGTTTCACGGAGTCATGTTGATTAATTGGATACCAAATATGTGGGGATGGAGCGCGGAGACGAAGTGTTATTCGCCTGGGGCCCAAATTCAAAACCCTAAAACATTCACGGGGTCATGCTGGCTAATTTGATACCACATATGTGGGGGTGGAGCGCGGCGACGGACGAACATACACACACCCATACATATATACATACTTTACATACATACACACATCTTTGATATTAGTTATATAATTATCATATATAAACCGAGATTAATCCACCAATTTAAAATTGTCCACAGTAACAGGAACGTTGGCATAAAATCAAAGAAAATATACGTTATGCCATCGCGATTATACATCCGCTGTCAATATGCAAAGTCACACAAAACATAAACAAACACCCGCACCCCCCCACCCAACACACACACACACCCACACACACACCAAACATAAACGCGAAACACTCCAAAACATAACCAAAAACACCCCCAAAAACAAACAAGCAAAACACGCGAACATAAAGACTGACCCCCTTGAACATTATGGTCGTCAAGCATTATCAATTGTTTCTTCCTTCTTCGCCCCTGAAATAAAATAGATAACTATATCCAGACTCTATATCATTCTTCGACTGTTTTAAAACTTGCTTTAAATTATGATGTTCAATTTATAAGTCATTTAGAACATATTTAATTGTTTTATATATTTTATTGTTTGTATAAACATGTAAATGTCATAATATATTTCTTTATGTTCTGTCCTTACAGATGGCCCAGCAACATTAGACACATGTAGTAAACTGACAATAATATCCTTTATATAACACGACAATTCTATAATATTCAGATTATATTTTAAAGTTCTGTTCTAAAACGTGAAGCAATTTGAATGAAATATTGGAAAGAAAGTCAGCTACATTTACATAATTTCTGAGAAAAACGATATATTAGGTTATGAATATCAAATAATAATTTAGAATGAAAACAAAACCAAACATTTTTACAAAAATGCCGGTGAATTTTGTTTAAGAATTATTGTCTTTACATTTAGATATGTAAAAAAAAATGAAATCTCCCTAAGGGAAGTCAGTCTATACATACAATATAGTTTAAAAAGCGACGCGCGTACCGCAAATCAAAGGGCGACGCAGGGCTTTATAAAGGGCCACGTCGTGTTAAAACATCGACATCGCAAAAAAGCGACGTGCGACACGGGAAATGGCTGAAATAGAACATGAGTTTATCTAAAACAATAGTGTTAGGTAAACAGCTTGTTGAAATACTAGGTCAGACAGACAGAGTGCTGCTTTAAGTTAAAATGGAAGCAGTGTGAAACATGACACCGTTTAGTTGTACGGTTTTAATGTGTTGGCAGTCACTGCCACATCAACATAACGTCTCTAGCTGTGAAGGAAAACGTAACAGCATTTGTTTCTACTCATACATTCCTCGCAGACAATGTAGGAATATTTATGTTATTTATTTTATTGTGTTTTATGATAACCATGCTTTGCGATTTCAATTCACCGTTATATTAGGAACTAGCTGGCACTTCAACTAAAGCCACGACTTGAAATAGACAGGAATTGGGTTACTCTATTTTGTGTGTTTCTATATGATACAATATTATGATAACTACAGTATTGTGATCTTTTAGAGGCATGTAGTAACAGGATAGAGTAATAAACTATGACAGATACACATAAATAAGTAGCTGTTTTCCATAAGTATGTGTTATAGTTTATTACTGTATTGTGATGTGATAACTATTGTATTATGGTGTATGAAGTAAACTTCCAGTATTTAAACACAAATTTTAGATCGTATATGTCTATAAAATTCTTAGATTTAAGTCAAGACAAAATGCTGATTTGGGTTGAGCTCGCGTATATTGCGATTGGTCGTGGGGCAAAACCTACGCGATTAAGCGGAAGTGGGTTTGTTTTCTAATGTTTGCTTCGTTTTTGGCTTAAACTGTCGACAGTTTGAATGAAACATTTATTGAAGCCTTTTGCTACAGTTGTTGTCAACACTTTTTACATCTGTGACTAGTGCATGCATTAGCTTAAAAATCAAGCCATGTTTAAATACAGAAAGGTATCGTGCACAAGACAATGTATTTATACTATTTATAAATTGGCTAACCATTTTGCCCGAGTAGTGGCTTGTCTGCTTGTTCTTTGCATTATAACTATGGCGCTATTGCTTTGAGAGTATGTTCACAGATGAAGAACTTATCGCTCCAACAGAACCACTGAGCTACATGTGCGACACGCAATAGCACCATACACGTGGGGGGGTTTCATTGTCAAATTTGACACTTCAAGGAAGGGTTGATGAAAACTGCCGCGGGCTGGTTTATTCTATCCATGTTTGCTTTCCTATCGGTTCTTGCATAAGATTTTCTGTTTAGCGTATCTTTGCTTTAGTGTGTTACGTTTAATTTGATCGGGAGACGTGTTCGTCGACGTGAACGTCAACCGACAAAATAGTGCAAGAATTGACCATGGCTCTGCAAGAAGAGTGGGTCAGATTGTCCCAAATCGTGATTGGACGGTTGATTAGGAGCATGCCACGACGAACTGCTGAATATCTGAGGATTGGTGGAGCAATTACTCATTATTAAGACAAAAATCAAAAACGTCCATTTTCACTTTTGACGGTGTATATCTTTGCGAGTGAAGGGGTTGTTGGATGGCCGAATGGTTAGCAAGTGCGCGCCGTATCATAAGGCCTGTCATTGAGGCCACTGGAGTGGTTTCGAATCCCCGGTTGTACGTGACAAGGAGTAGGGTCGCCGCCTGTCCAACCTCGTGGGCTTTCTCCGGGTCCTCCGGTTTCCTCCCACTGCTAAAGACCCCCACGGTCAAGCGAATTATTGAAGTAAAATTAAAACCATGTTAGTCCCGCAACGATCTAGTTTGTGTCGAGTGGACGTTAAACCCCATTTCTCCCCCTCTCTCTTTGTGAGTGAAATGGGGCCGTCAGAGAAGCCTCCCATATTAACTGTTTATGTTCATGTGTAGGCAATTGGCCTGTTACTTAACATACACTGGTTACCTCTAATAAAAACAGCAGTGCATTTCCGCAGTTTTGTATTGATTCTGAATATCCCCTACTTTTTTTAAGAGTATATTATTGATCATGAATCTACCTATTCTGGGTTGTATGCCACTGGGTTCTGAAAATACCATTATATTACGATAAAATCATTGATCATGAATCGACCTATTTTGTAATATTATGTTAATTGTATTTTAATATCAGTTTATATCTATACACAAGCACGAGATTGACATTATGATAATACCCTGGGAAAACATAACGGCGTTTATATAAAAACGTTAAACCGAATTAAATAAATCAGCGCAAGATTGGACAGTCATTTAGAAAGACATATACATGTACAACGTGTATCAGTTAAAGATACATTATTGGAGATTAGATAAAGAGCTATCAGTTCTCACTATAATAGTTAAAAACTAGATAATGTAAAGGGAATTTCTGACAATTTCAGTCAAATTGATCCACTGTGAACCGAGAATTTAGCGATTGAATTTTCGGCCTAGCCTCGATCATCATTACTAATGTCGATATTATAAAAACATAGTCACAATTATCCATTTTATGATTAAATCATGAATGGAAGTTGATCAGCAAATCGGATCCTAATCCAATAAATATCGCAGGCTAGCGATGACATCGAGGGTTGATTATGGTCTGGATAAGTTAATTAATGTCTAATTAATAATTTAGATAACATTTCAGGCTTAAAGGATGACCCGTAATAATCAGATTTAGCTCTTGCATAGTGTATGTTTAAAGGATCCAAGTCTTTTTAACTCAATATCATACACAATCTTCGACATTGCAAACAAATTTGATGTTGTTATCCTACCGCGAAACGTTGGGCTTCTGATATCCAATATTTAAGACAAAATGAAAATTTTAAAATTGGCACACGAATCATGTGCCAGAATGCTTCCGAGCGCCAGTTGTATGAAGCGACTCGGCGAACGAGACTAAGCATATCCCATGTAGGAGAATACTACCGGTGTAGACTGGAATAACCAGACGCCAAAGACTGCCATTCAATTCAGACTCTTCGCAAGAACATAATTAGAAATTACTGTAAAAACAGAAACGATTGTATGTAAATCTTTGTATATACATTCATATTACATTATTATGTGCTTTGCGACCCATTTGTGTCCATTATTTTTAGGTGCCAAAGAATAGCGATTTAGCGCCTTTAAATCTACGATATGTCTGCCATACTTTATCGTAATTACACTCTAGGGGGGTATGTCATATATCGACTGTTTTATAACACAATTAGACGTTTACATGAATATATTATGTCGTTTACATTTTTGATAATTACTTCGATAGCTATTGCCCTTGATCACTTAAAAGCATTCTATTATGGATGCTTTAGGCGGAAAACCTTTATGTGCCATGTATGCTTTGTTTACTAATTATGAGGGAAAAATCCAGATCAACTCAATAATTATTTTCCGGGTTGTGGAAGTTCCCATCACATTCTTCTCAAAGTTATAAACACCCTTTGTTTTAAACATGATAAATTATCGGCGTATTACATTTTATAATATTCATGGCTTCAAGTCATTGATAGTCTATGTTCTTTTAAGATGTTGAACTAGATCGGAGCAGAACAGTAGGACGTTAAGCTCCATTTCATTTCATTTCAGATGTTGAACGATCTGGTTGATTATCAGCATGTGATAAATACAGCTTCCATTTTATTTCGACATTACTATTCCGACATCAAACCGTCTTGCCGACCAATGTTTCTCTTCCTGTTAAATTGTTTTAAAATTTAGGATATTGTCATCAAGTTTCTCCTCATAAATGGTGTAGAAGAAAGTCATACAAGCCAAATTTTAACAAATGAAATGAAATCAAATTAAATGCGGTTTAACGTTCTACTGTTCTGCTCCGACTGGGCTAATGAAGACGGCAAAAATTTTAACTAATATATATGCATGTTTAAATTTCTAAACCGTCAAAAACATTAGGAAATAAATTTGAATCAAGTTTCTTCCACACCCCGTGGAAACAGCGATGGCTCAGTGATTAAGGCGCTGGTTCAATAACCAGGTACCGAGTTAGATTCCTGTGTTAGTTTTCTGAAAAGTCGTTCGGATTGGACACGTGGGTGTGCACGTAAAAGAATCCTTGATAATTGGAATCCGGTTAAGAGTAGGCATCTATTTATCTCATCTATTGTGCAAAAAGTATACCCATCGTAATTAGCTCGGTTGACGCAGAAAGTAGGGCGTTAAACCCCATTTCATTTCAAACCCTTAGGCATTCAACATCATCACCAGTTGACAGTTTTTCAACAGAATCAATATAAAGAACTAAAATCAATTATATGCGTTAATAAAATGTTGAGAATGCTGACGTGGGACTTTATCATTAATGTTTGTTGAAGAGGAAGTTACAGTCTTCAGTTATTGGTTAGACACGTCGTATAGACAAGAATCGATGTTATAAATTATGCTAATCTTTCAGATCTAAAAGTTGAATATTCCATAAACTATGATGATTGCAAGTTGATAATAGGTCTGTTAGAAGTGTGTGCAGTAATCCGTCTAATGTGAATCCTAGTAGTTTATGATATTTGACTATTTGTTAGACTTCAAGTATGGACTGCAAGATTTTATACGTCACTTATCTACTACTCATTGTAATATATAACAATATTATATAGCACTTAGTATTGTAGATCAATAATTCATACTACATATGTTTACTTTATACACAGGGCTAGTTGTTATTTTCTCGGCCGATTTATTTTAACTGTGTTAAAACGGACATTTTTATTGAAAAGTTAGAAAGTGTTTCGGATTTTATAAACATTTAACGGTAAATATATCGTACAAAAGTGTGATGCTGTTTAGCTTTTGGAACGTTGGTCACGTTTCTGTGATGAAGTTGTGCGTAACATTACACGAATGTGTCATTTTGTGTTTTTGAATTTGAATTTGATTGCATCATTGCCGTGTAGTACTGATGGTATCTAATACATCGTCCTGGGGTTTAAAATGAGGTTACTGGAGTGGTCCTGGTATTTGTCTATTGTATAATTAGCTTTAATGTATGTTAAGATATAAAACTGTCATCGAATAAATTTAAGAAGTACGATTACTTTGTAAATCGCCACGAATCGGTAAAGCATACGTGTCGTACTTTGAATATTCAGTTAAGTAGGTTAGGTTTAAGTCATATTTCAGTGATGCAGGACGGAGGGCCTGACAAGGACAACTGTCTAGTCATTCGGATGAGACGAAAAACCGAGGTCCCGTGTATACATTGGAATGCACGTAAAAGATCCCTTGGCAGTTGGAATTCTATATAAGAATAGGCGATAGTGCCGCTGCCCGGGCAAAATTTCCCTCATAGCACACTGTGTGGCGTATGCCCGTCTTCATTAGCCCAGTATTGGAGCAGAACAGTAGGACGTTAAACCCCATTTCATTTCATTTAAGTCATATTCTTTGCAAAATTTGATACAAATCAGTCAATGTTTTTAATATGATAAAAATATTTTTTTGTTTTTAATTTTTAGGTCCAACTGATGATGACTCGTTAATGAATATGCAATATGAAATATAGATTTTTATATTCATAACATATACAGATTACCTAGCCCAGTGTAACGGAAAGGAATAGGAATCAACTACCAGAACCGTGTGTTCATAATAATCAGAATACTGAATGCCAATGCATTGTGTCAGTGCTTAGCTGCATTAAAATCGTTATACGAACTACTTTTCATAAGTGAAGTTTTACATGCAGTAAACGCTTTATTCAGAATTGCAGAATTAAGAAAGAAGGGTTCAGACCGAACTTTAACTTAAGAACGAAACGTAAAGCCGTGTGAAACTAAAAGTGTACTATGAATGAACTCGAGTGAAAACAGGATTAACTATGTCTTGTTTATGTGATACTGTCAGTAGTCCTCTCAGTTGACATTTTAAATAATTAGGTTACATGAATTTGTTCTAAATCAAATATTTAAACCCAATTAACCTACTCGCAATTACAATGGGTTGTGGAAGTTGTGAAACACGTCTTAGTCTACAGAAATATCCAATATGCAGGGAATTTTTAGCAGAATTTTTAGGAACATTTATTCTAATGGTAAGCCATTTTAAAGATTATAGCATTTTAATTCCCCACAGACATATTTTGGTTAATAAAACCTGTTAACTCCTATAATACATTTACCCTTGTCCTATATTAATATATACCATACTACCAACGGAAACGTTTAGTAAATAATCATGTCCATAAACTAACCGAAGTTTGGTATAGTTGAATAGACCAAATTTTCTTTATTTGGGTTATTTAACCCCGTTATGCAATTTAGATGCTGATTTCTGAATGGCTCCACATTTTAAGTTGAATATTTCCGACAAGGTAAATAATATGCCATATCTTTACAGTTTGGCATTTTCTTTAGGACTGATACCTGTGAAATATGTGACTGTCTCTTTAAGCGCCTCGTCAACTCAACTTAAACATTCTTGGCATTTTTACGCTGACTTATTTTGCTTTCCTTAGCTTCGTATAAAATAGAGAGGGGTTTTGGCCAAAAGAAAGGTTGCCAGTAGATTCAGGAAGCCTCCAATCTTTAACCACAATCAGTACTTAGTTGGCTACATTAAAGGGGGATTGGGTAAGATTAGATAGAGCTGATAGTTTTTGCTACAATAGTTAAAAATGAACAATGAAAACAGAAAATGCTAACAATTTCAGTCAGATTGCTTCACTGTGATCCGAGATATTACCGATTCAATTTTCGGCTAGCCTTGATCATCAATACTAACGTTGGTTCTATATAACAAAGGCTCGATTATCCAATTTCGAGTTAAAATATCCATCACAAAATGTATTCAAATCCACGAAAGTTCAGAGACTAACGATGGCATTGAGTGGTGATTATGGCCTGGATCAGTTAACTAATGTCTAATTAATAATTTAGATAACATTTCAGGCCTAAAGAAAATCCTGCAATAGGCAGATTTAGCTCTTGCATAATGTATGTTTAATATCTTTTAAAATATGATTTACTTTTAATTATGCACCTGGTAATCATTTGCGTTAGCGTCGGTTAATGTTTCGGGATAGAATACCAAACTATGGCTTGTGATGACACAAGTGCAATAAAAACGCCCCATTAAACAACTGCATGATAAACGATAAATACACCATTATGGTAAAGTATATAATCCAATAAAACAGAAATCAAATAAAAACCATTGACAATACCACCATAAAACAAGGTTTACATAAATTTCTAAAAGAATATAAAATAAAATGAAATAAAATGGGATTTAACGCCCTAAAGTTCAGCTCCGACACGACTAATCTAATAATGGAGACGGGTAAAATAATATTAAATTATATTTATGTCTAATTGCATAACAAATGATTATTTGATGTCCATTAACGGACATTGTATTATCGTGTATACATTTACCAGCATTCAATAACATTCATGTTTACTGAAAACGGGACCGTGTGGTTGTTATATACCAAATGGGTTATTTGTAGAAACAATTTTTATAATTTTTATCTTAATGTTGGCGAGGTATCTTAAATATTTGGACTCTGTTTCAGACATTATCTCCCAGTTGTTACTAATTATAGCATCAATAAAAAGTTATCCATCATTAGCTTTTTACAATTATTATTAAAGAGTCATTATGTAAGAGCTAAATGTGCATATTGGAAGTCTTTATTTTATATGTATGTCGACATTAGTATTTAGACATCTATTCACATGCCAAGTCTATAATCAGCTCTCTGGATCATCACATCCCGGAGATTGAAACACGGTCGCGATTTAATGAATTTAATTAAAAACTGCTGAATCAAGACAGGATAGCGATTAACAGGTACCGTTGCTACCATAATAAACAATCTATGCAACATCTTGTCAAAACTTCAAACAGCGATAACTTCGCTGAGAATAAAGTATTTTGAATAAACGTTTCAATATATTGATTTTACGTTGTCTATGTTTGAACTAATATAGCAAGAACGATCAGCTCTTTATCTAAATCCAACATAATGGAACTTTAATTTAAGAAACAGGTGGGAATTAAATTTATGTTACATAAAAACAAATCTCAACTAACTAATACGACTGACCTGGAAACTAGCCCAACAGAACGTCCATAAATATATATGTTAGTACAGCTGGGTACATAATACAAAACTCGATTGCGTCATTTATAGTACAGAAAATGCCTTGTGCATTCATTGTTAACAAAATACTATGTTATGTATACCCAGTGTCAACAAAGTGTATCACCCTCTGTTGAAAGACATTCATGAGTTGCCTGGAAGTCAATGGAATTTTGGAAGATACGGAACCGGATTAAGACCTATGGAGGCTCTAAGTACTTAGAAGATTTTGGTGGCCAAAATGTAAAAAATAAAAAAACATAAACAATCCGTCAAGCACGTGGTTAGAGTTTTTCTGAGCTTTTATGTACGTCATTATATATTGTGACAAAAAAGGTAACAGTAAGAAAAGACAAAAAAGACTGAAAAATTAATTGAAAGTTCTTAATTCATTTTTTAATAAAATATTCTGAATTAGTCATCTAACAAAACAGAAATTCTATGGTGCCCCTCTTCCCATGGTGCTTTTAGCGCGTACTTATTTTGCTTAATTGTTAATCCAGCACGGGGAAGATACACAAATTATTGAGATATAAACATTTAAAAACGTTTACTTATAGTTTTAGCAAAACATCGAGGTTTTTTTTTTAATGTAAACAAATTTACGATTGTTTAGCGAGCTAAATACCCCTGAAGCCACGCATCTAAGAGTACCTAATTCTGGATTAGACGTCAGGGTAAATAAGTTATTTTTGGACCAGCAACTGGGCCCTAAGCGCCACTGGTCTAGGTCTTTTTCTTGAGGGCTACACGCTTCTGAAAAAGCCTGACGGCTTCGTCATTTCGAGTACAATCAGTATGAAACTTTGCATGGTTGTTCCTGGGACAGACTTCGATTTTTGATCATATATGTCACAATTCCAATATGGCGGTGATTATAGTATTATCGTACAAGTTTCCACTTCCCGATTGAGCCATATAATTTTTGTCCTTTCATCGATCAAATCGTACAATTGAATTCTCGGATAATTTTTACATTTAAAAAATGTAAAAAAAAAGTATCCGAAAATTCAGTTGTATGTTGCATTAGATCCAATATCGCTGCCCCTTTAGTACTAGGTGGTGCCTTTAAGTTAGGCCATGGTCTCTTTTATGTATACATATTTAAATCGTTGCAAAGAGAGCGAGGGGTGGGAGGTTAACGTCCACTCGACACAAACTATGTCATTTCGGGACTAACATACGGCTCAATTGTATTTCAATAATTCGCTTGAGCGCAGGGGTTGAGGTTGGACAGGCGAGCCTTCTACACCTTGTCACGTACAACCGGGGAATCGAAACCACGCCACTTGACTCAATGACAGGCCTTATGATACAGCGCGCACGCGATACTGGGGAATTTCACACAAATTACTTCACTCTGAGCAATCGGCGATATATATAATTATAGGCTAGCATCGATGTGTCATAATTTAATATTGTGATTTAATATTAACAATTTAGTTTATTTCACCATGGACCATGTACTCTAATATTTAATATAACGTTATTCGGCATGTGACACGTCTAGAAAAATTTGAAATCATAAATAAAAATTTGACCTTTTCCCACACTGCCGCTTTAATTTCTATAGTGTCCGGTTAAATAGTTTAGCCAGTATAAGACCTCTTTTAATATAATGTGGCGTCATTTGGGTCATAGAGAACTGAAACACCCCAAGAAAGATCTAATGTACCATTTCCGTCCGGAAGATGTGATACTGACACACATTCTTTCACTTTAAATATAAAGTAACACCTCTACAATTACAGTGATATGGCGTGTGTAGTGTACCAAAAATATCGGTAAATCTATGACAAGTTAGGACTGATGCAATGAATATGATGTTTGAACCCAGAGTTATAAAAATATCATCTTATATTGAGTTTTACCTTTTTACAAGATCATGCCCGAAAAATTAGATAACGTTTTATAGGTCCTCGCCAGGATTCCAGTCAGTAAAACAACGATGATTTTGGATTTGATATGATATACGGTTATGCAGTTTGCTTATAAATGTACAAATTATATTGATATAAAAGAACCGAAATATGTGTGTCATTCCACCGCTGATAATATAGGGACTAGTTGGTTTTAAATTTATAGTTAATAGTTATAAAGCTATACGACTTTAAACTAAAATATAAAATAAACAATTGTACTTTGATCATTAGTAATCAAATAGACATATTCGTTATTAAACAACCATAAAGTTACTATTTATATTTGTTAAAAGCCTCAACATGCCAGCAAAAAGAGGTTAAGACATACATAATCGAAATTTATTGGTTCAAAAATTATTCTGATCTGTTAATTTTAACTTAAACGGGTATTATGAAGGGGCTAAATTTGCCTATTGTAGGTATTCCTTTAGGTCCGAAATGTTACCATTGTTGGATGGCCGAATGGTTAGAACGTGTGCGTTGTATCATAAGGTCTGTCACTGAGCCAACTGGCGGAGTAGGATCGCCTCGCTCGCTCTCTCTCTCTCTCTCTCTCTCTCTCTCTTCATTCCTCCCACCCGAACGACTAGCTAGACGTTTGTTAGATCCTTTGTCCTGCACTACTGATAAGGGGAAACACCGAGATCGAACACTGATCCAACGTGTTTTTAACGGAGGGTGGGGGATTTTTTTATTTGGTCTCGCCCACCTCGTAGATGTAACAAACGAAATCGAAAGGAACCATTGGCTCTTTGCCGCTTTTTCGTACCTTTACATTGAACTAGTTTTCTGTTCCAACTAAATTTCTATTTAAAAATCCAAAGAGACTCAATAATGTTTTAGCAGTGTGGGGAACCCCCAGTAACGTCTTTATATTATGTGGATTAGCTACTAAAGTATTTTTTAGATATGTTTTTCTTTGTTCAGAATGTTTTACAACTTTGACAATTATTTTCATGGTTTGTACTTTTAGTTCTTCTTTTCACTTGAACATAAATCTTAATAATCGTAACAAACATACATGCG